ATATATATAATGTGCATATATGTTTCAAAAAGTTTGTGAAAAGGTTCCATTATCTTTTCATCCCATGAATTTTAGATAGATAGATAGATAGATAGATAGATAGATAGATAGATAGATAGATAGATAGATAGATAGATAGAAGAGGAGAACCCACGTTTGATAATGGAATACTACCATCCCTAAAAGACAACAATGAAACCATGAAACACCTCAACTTGTGGAGGGCTCTGGAAGACATTATGCTGAGTGAAGTTGGTCAAGCCCAAAAGGACAAAAACTGTGGTAGGAACAAGCAGCAGATTGGGCACAAGCCCAGACTCACAGGCAGCCAGTCTTCTGGTTAAGGACCGCACAGTCTAGTAAAGAGGCAGACCAGTACCAAAGAACCACACACATCCGCTCCAGGTAAGGACAGTGTGGCTCACTTGCCAGCAGGGCCCCTCACCAACAGCTATACCGAGGGGTGTACTCTTTGTTGGTTGGCGAACAAACAAGAACTTGCTACATCAATGCCCTATATGCTATATTAAGACAGATATTATTCTGGAAATCCTATGATGGACATTCTATTTTATTTTGTGTATGTTTGCATATATTAAGGTGTATCTCAGAGGGGAGTTACTATAAGGGGTCTCCTTCTTGAATTTGTGTTATTTGTTTTCCTGTTTTTTAACAAATGAAGCCCAGTATTGATGAGCCTATAAGGACAGCAAATAGAACAAGGATTTTGAGAGGGAGGGTAAAAATGGATAGGGGAGATAAAAGGTAGGTGATGTCAAGGGGTCCAGGAAAGAGAAGTCTGTTTGGAGACTGACTATGGAAGCAATCCCATAATTCGGCGTGACGTGATTGAACTATGAAATGATATGGCATATGTATTAACTCCTAAGGAAGAACAAATCAAAGGAAAAGGGGAAAAAAAAGACATGGATCCAGAACTGGGTTTGGGGCTCACACTAAATCCTAGCTCCAACTTGAGAACAATTAGTTCTTACATCATGTCCCTGCCCAATTCTCACCGTCGGGAAGGGAACACAGAAGACATGGGTGCTATCGCACACTGTGGCGAAGAATCCAGATGGTGCCCTGCTCTCAGACCAAACAGCATCTGGGGTCTTAAAGTCTTTTTGCCAAGCAAGCAACCATCTGAGAGAGATGTCAATTAAGTCCACACGGAAGAAGCACACTATCATCAGTCACCAAAGGATTAGAATCCAGATAATCTGAAGTCAAAGAAGGGATTAGTCTCAGAATGTCAATTGTGAGAAT